ATTATTAGTGAATTTCCGGGCGTGACAAGTTGGTATCATTTCAGTGATTAATTTTCACCGCCCCTGTTCCTCTTCGGTTGCACACCTCCCATATTAATCATGCGCCTCTCTACATTTTCACGCCTAGCGAGATGTATTCGCCTTTCCACTTCCTCAAAATTCGCCTGTGTATCATCACCCGGACCACCCACCATGTGTGCGCTCAACATTGCTAAGAGGTCGATGCTGATGTTAGTACCAGTGCCACCTTGGCCATTTTCTTCTCCTATATCAACCGGTGCCTTTGCTTCCTAGCTAGCGCCAATCCTAGTGGTCGGTTGCGTCTGATTAATCTAATCGGTGCCTCTGCGTACAATACCAATCCCAGTCATATGATGTTTGATCCTATACATCATCACCACCTCAACTCAACTCAGTGCCGTGTCAACTACCGTGTCACCCCTAGACATTGACGTGGGCCATGTGGTATACCCCGTTGGAAAATCCATGATCCTAGGCCCATCACTTTGGTCCAGGGTGGTTCCTCCCACTAATGGGTGGACCACACCTATTAGTTCCATTCAAAAGTAATTCTCATAATTCAAAAATCATAGAGAGTATTCCTAAATTCCTTTTCTATTTCGAATTTTCTTTGAATTTAATCTTGTGATGCCCATATCTTCTTACATACAACCTATGGGTAAAAGAAGTAGTTCTTGATTAGCTAAACCCTAGTGACAAATAACCTTGAGGTCTTAGGTTACTCGAGCACCAACTGCATAATGTAAGAGAAATAATAAATTCATATCATGCTATATTTTCATGCTTGCAAAATGTCCATTATGAAATAGCACTAAACAAATCCTTTGGTCCCCTTTTCAAATGGAGGATTGATATAGGACATTTTGAGGATTCTAGTCATGCACAGAAAATACCTTTAAAAGCCTCTGAAACAAATGACTCAATCATATCCTTTTCTTTGAAATTCCTATCAAACGGATAATCCCATGGTGGTTTTGGAGGAAAATAACGAAGAGGCCTTTCCAATCCTTTGCCTCTCACAACCCAATCCATGTTCATGTTTTTATCACATTCATTCATGTGTGAGTTTCCAGCATTTCAAAGGGGGCGTTAGTATGTGCAAGCTGAATTTATGACCTATTGTGAGGTCATTAGGTGCCATACCACATAAGAATTTTATCCCAGGATTAATAGAATGGTAGGTATCATTATTAAAATCGCTCGTATTAATGATACCTACCATTCTATTAATAATGATAGATTATTAATAGAATCTATTGAGATAGATTACACAACGAAACAATTCATATTCATCATATAAGAATAAGTGTTATAGGTTGATGATATTGCTGACACCCTTACTCCCTTCTAATCTCTTTTAAAAAATATTGCCGGCATGAAATTTATAGACAACCTATAACTTAGGGTAATTACGATAATAATAGGATGTCAAACTTTGATCCTGAAAATCAAAGTTTGTTTTTCTGCTTATGAAGTGCACGCAATGATTGATGGAAAATAATTGTATTGAGGACCATAAGAAAGGAGTATTTGCATGCTTACAAACTCTCAAGTACCCCTAATTAGTAATCCATATGAAATGGAGCAGTGCACTATAGATAATTAATAAGGTTTAGTGATGATTATATACTCACTCTATCTACTTTAACATTCGATCAAGTGCGAGAATGTTAGACTCTTCCCCGTAAAAAAAAAGAGGAGAATGTTAGACCCTATAGTGTGATCGATGGATATGTTAGCCATTAGTTTTTATGGTAGCATCAGTAATTAACATACTCCCTCCTTTCATAATGGCTGACATCTAGGACAAAATTTGGTTTTTTTTTTAAATTCTGACTATTAATTTTATATTTGAATAAGTTTATAGTTTATCATATTATGACAGCAATTTTTAAGGCAAATGTACATGTGTCATTTTTTTTAAGCTAAGTATTTCAGAAATTATTGATTTTCGGAGTTTCAAATTTTTGATTGATCCTTGTCTTAAATATCAAATATTTCTGATTGGAGAGAGTAATTAGGCTACTAGGTCAAAAACATCAATATTTATGATCGGAGAGAGTAATTAAGCTACTATAAGAGCTTATTTGTGAATATTCCTTGGATTATTAGGGGGACTAGATCTATATCTTTTATGTAATTATAACCACTAAGAAAATAAAATTCAACATACAAGCACAACAATTATTAATAGAAGCTAAACCTTGACATGTAAACATGCTACACCAAGACACTAATCACATAAAACTCACCATACAAGCATATCAATCATTAGTATACTCTAAAGCTTAACATGACAGCATACCTGATAACAATCCGGCCCAGGTGGGGTTGGCCGAGGCCCAATAACTTAAGGTTGCCTGGACCCCAACAGTTCATAGGCACACCCACTCAGGGAAAAGCCCAATCTCCCTAAAAGACTAGTCCAATAGGGGAAAGGTGGCTCTCCCTTTTAAGGTGGCTTCCTCCTCCCAAGCTAAGCAAGGTGGGATTATTCAAAAGCTCACACGGTCGTCGCCCGACTTTGGCGTCTTTGCCAGCGGATAATAGTGGAGGATGTCCTCATCAATACCGTATCATTTACTCCCTTTATCCCATTCTATGTGCAACCATATTTTTTCTGTACACAACTTTGACCGTTCGTCTTATTTGAAAAAAAATTGAAAAGTACTATTCATATTTTATCATCTCATAACAATAAAAATAATAATTATAAAAAAAATTCAAATAAGACGGACGATCAAAGTTGGGCACGGAAACTTATGGTTGCACTTAAAATGGGATGGAGGGAGTACAATTTATTGCATTTTTAAACCTAGCATAGTATGACAAATCATTATTTCTTCTCACATCGTAATATTCATAATATTTTAACCCAAATCCGTTCATCATTTCTATAACATCTAACCCAAATATATTCATCCATATATTATGGAGCAAAACACAATAGTGTTATCTAGCTTAAATGGGTTTGGTCCTAGATCACTAAATGTCTTATAAGACTCGCCTTTTAGTTCGTTTTTTTTCCTAACACCGCCGGAAAAACACGTACCACCTCCTTCATGGTCTTCCAAAACCAACCAATGGGAGCGCATGGCTAGTTTATGGGAGTGCGCTGGTTTCAAATTCCACATTAATTGATTATCACATAATCTTAATGCTAGAAATAAGGTTATATGATCTTACTTGTGATTGAAATTAACCAGGGACTACCTATACATTTATTGATAAATTTTTTCCTATAAAATTGACAGATGTAATTATACTACAATCGTAGTGTAATTACACTGTAACTTGTATTTAATTATACTGTAACTTGTATGTAACTACAGTGTAACTTGTATGCAAGTTTCATGTAATTTTGAATCGTTAGATCTATTACAAGATTTGTTCTAGTAAGGAAGAAAAAAAATCACAGCACACACATATGTGAAAGGATTTGTTCCCACGACCTCCATTTTACCGAAACAACATGTTACGGAGAGATTTTTGAAAGTTACATACAAGTTACATGCAAGTTATAGTGTAATCACACTATGATTTTACTGTAATTACATATGTCAAATTTTTGAAAGAAAAATTATCGACAAATATATAGCAAAATTGAATTGACAATACTTAGCAGCCACCAAAACAGCCCAGCGCAATTCCTACGAACAAGCCCACCTAATCCAATTTCTACAGGCAAGCCCATCTCATCCCTATGTTCCCTTACAAGGAAAATAAAGTCTATTTCTACTCCTTCATGTAGGTTCAATCTAATTCGTACCCTAAAGTACAAAACGGGATATAATGGTTGTTAAAACTAGCGTAAAATGACTCCCTCGACAATATTAACAATGGTTTTCCCTGATATGTGATATGGTATCCACGTGTTGCATTGACTTGCATCTACGTGGCACTACAATCATTAAAAAATGGTTAATTAATTCGATCCATGCCATGTTAAATATATCATTTTAGATAAATATCATTATAATTCGTTTATTCACAGCTATGCCATTAAAATTTTATAAAATTAAAACCGTATTACTACCGTCACGTTTTTCTTCCATCTTCTTCCTGCTCCATATTCTTCCTTTATCTCTTCCCATGTTCAATCTTCACTGTCGTTGTCCATCCAACCATGGCCGCCGCGAGCTTCGGTGGCGCCGGCGTCGGGGTGCTCGGTGTGCACGCGGCGCCGCGCAAGATCGGGGCGCTCGGCGTGCACAAGACTGCACTGTTGTCCCCATCTCTTGCTGCCTCTTCGGCAGCCTGCATGGCCTGATGCCAATATAGCGCACCAATGTCGGGCTGGTGCTGTTCATCGTCGCCATGACCGCCACCGCCAGTGGCGGATCTAGAAAAAAAATAGTAGTGGGGGCTGAATAAACTACATCAGCATAAATCGAACCTTCAGTCCCCACATCCTATAGATCTATGGAAAAAAAATTTAGTGGGGGCTTAGGGGGGTCTCCACTGTCCCGGGGGCGGTAGTGGGGTCTCGAGACCCCTCCGCCCCCATTGTGAATCCGCCCCTGGCCACCGCGCTCACTGAGATGAGGCGGCTCCGCGTGGTGGGCGTCAACGACGGTGAGGAAGAAACCAAGCAGGAAGGAACCAAACAAAAGTCTAGGACCAAGCAAAGAAAATATATGTGATTTCTATTGGTCGCTTCCCACGGATTCGATCGTGGAAGCCATGAACATGGTCTCCAATCTCTTCAGGCAAAAATAGTAGGGGAAATATCTGCTTGCCGAGCCTGTCTACTTCTCATGGATGCAACTGGGGGTGGATGGATGAATGCGTAGGGATCCGGTGGGCTGAGGGGATTGGATCCAAACATACAGTGTGAGAGGAGAGAAGTGAAAGGAAGAAGGGGATGACGAAGATAAATCTAGCAAGTGGGTCCCTCGTGCAGATGATGAAGAAGATGGAAAATATGATGGCAGCGGCATGGTTTTAATTTTGTAAAATTTTAGTAGCACAGCTACAAATAGATGAATTGTAATGACATTTATCTGAAATAGCATATTTACAATGGCATGAATCGAATTAACCCTTAAAAAACTATATGTGGGATCTACATGGTAGTGATCATTTCTTTTTCCTCTATTCTTCCCTCTCTCTCCTCCCTCCCTTATCTCTCTTTACCTCTTCCCAATCTCTCACTGTGGTCAAGAGCCTTGAGGTGGCGACCAGCGAGACGAATGGGCGTCCGGACGACGAAAAGAGGAGCTGGAGATGATGGTAGGAGCCATGAACGTCATGCTCCTTCGCGCAACATCGCCAGCACGACGGTGAGTAGGCCCCTTCCTTGACCACGACGTGTGCGAGGGTGTTGCAGCCCTCCTTCCCCTTGTTCGAGCTCGCCGCCATGGTGGGGATAGCGTGGCTGCACGAAGGTGGCCAGTGAGTCAAGGGAACTTCGCGTTCATGGACACCGACAAGGGGAACTATAGCATGTACCACGAGCGGTTTGGGGAGCATGGCGAAGCGGAGCGGTCAGGCGCCATCCCCTTGTCGAGTCGTGCGTGTCGCTAATGCTTGAGCAGCCGACGCCAACCCCATCCAAGCCAACAACCTCGTCATCGATCTGTATCCGTCAGGCTCACGAGGATCTAAGCGCAATCATCACCTCACCGCGCATGGTAAGTGCTGAGCCTAGGAAAAGAGGCCTTGGACGAGGAGAAGATAGACGATGCCTGGTGGTGGAGGTGAAGGACGGCAAGCTGGCACACCTTAACATGACAGCACGCTAATGTTCAAGCTAGCCCAGCTCAAGCTATGACCTATGGTTTCTTTCTGCATCCGCCAAGAGAAAGAGAGAGGGGACCGCCTCCGGAGGAAAAAGATGAGACAAGCGGAGAGAGGAAAGTCTATTACACCTTGGCCTGATGCCTATTTTTTAAATTTCTTTTATGATTGGGCTGTTAATTACGTGGACAACACATCAGCAAAATCCATTGTCAGTACTGCTAAGAAAGTCATTTTACATTATTTTAGTAGTTAGAGGAGTCGATATACTAGGCTTTACGGTTGAGAAGTATAAATCAAATTTGATCTATCAAGTTAAATTGGACTATTTTTCTCCATTACATATTTTCCGAAGCTTGCTATGCTAGCCTCTAATTATGTGTCTTGATATTTTTCTCACACATATGTTACAACTGATACTCTCTTTCTCTATATATATAGTTATATACACCACAATTGTACATTCATCTACTTAACTTAAAAAAAGTGCATGTCACAACTCCTTTATCCAGTAGCAACACGGGTACCATCTCAGTTATATAATTAAGAGTAAATTGTACTAGCGGTCCTTAAACTTGTAGGCAGGTTTCATTTAGGTTCACAAACTTGCAAAGTGTGTATCGAGATCTCTAAACTCAGTTTATTATATCATCCCGGTCTAAAGTTCTATTTGACCATGGTCTTGCCTACGTGGCATACCATGTAGACGACGACATGGCACATTATTATTTTTTTTTTCTCCCTCCTTCCTCTTTCATTTCTCTCTTCTTCGGCCTCTTCCTCCGACAGCAACGACGCTTGGCGATGACGGTGGTCGGCATGGGGGAGCTTGAAGTGGCTCTAGCGGAGGAAGAAGATAAAAGAAGAGGACAAAAAAGAAAAGGGGGAAAAGGAAAAAAAAACACCATGTCATCGACACGCCACGTAGGTAAGACCGCGGTCAAACGAGAATTTAGATAGGGATGATACAATAAACCAAGTTTAGGAGACTCGATACGCACTTTATAAGTTCGTGTATATAAGTGAAACGTCATGACAAATTTAAGAACCGCTGATGCATTTTACTTTATAATTAACAACTGAATCCATATATCAATGTATGAGGCAAATTAGTAAAATGTCATAATGTTGTATATCGACACTATCAAGAATTTCACGCGAATATAGAATATATAAATTCTAGGTTACATTCGAAGCATGAAAGTATCGTGCAAGCTAGCTACTCGATAAATAAAATGATAACTGCCGACGAAATAGCATGATTTCTCACTTTGTGATACGCACTTTGGAGTGTACCTTTTGTCCTGTGCTGCATGTCTGGATCCCAAGCACCAAAAGACCTTTGGGGCCAAGCAAAGGGCAGATCAGAAATCACGCACGTATGTCCACTGGAACCTGGATGCTGCCAGCGGTGTGCATATCATGTTCACACAGCGCCCGTACAGCATCCATCCAGCTGCCGATGCTCGTTCATCGTGTATCACGTCGCAATCCCGCGCGCGCCGGGCGTCACCGCCACCGATGAGGCGATGATGCTCGACCCGCTGGAACACAACATCAACTCGTCTACTTCATCCCCGGCTCCGACTAAAAATTGAACTCGACATCTAAATTCTCTGGTGAACTGAACACCTCACAAGCAACTGTCACATTATTAGAGAGGAAATCACTAGAATATACAACGAATTAAGCAAACGACAAGCACAAGCAAAAATATCATCGGGACACGGTGATTTTATTCATAATTTTGATGCTGACATGTAGATAGGAGTTTGCAACAGGACGAGAAAATGCGACTAGATTGACAAAACTGAACGAAATAACCAAGCAACTGACACTGACGACTGAAAAAGAAGCATCGTCGAATTATTACGCGCAACCCGACCAGCTGTAGTGATGAACTCGGGGACAACGATTCCGGCAGGAGGAGATCAGCTCGATCCGGATTACGGAGGCATCGGTGGCTCTCACACCTTGAAGCTGAAGCTGAGGAGGAACTTGTTCAGGCCGCCCTTCCAGCCGCCGCCGCCCCGTTTCTTGCAGGGATTGCAGGTCGCGACATTCGCCAGCTCAGGCCGGCCGCCCTTGGCCATGGTGTCGCGCGCCGCCTTCTGCCAGAGCAGGAAGCTCCGGCAGCCGTTGAAGTAGATCTTCTCGTCGGCGCTGAGCGCTGCACACCACGGCGAGAAACAGATAAGCGAGGTTCTAACACAGAACAAACTAATAAACTGCTCGGATTGAACCGATCTGGAGTCGGGGGTGGCGTACCGTCGGATCCGCCGTTGGCGGTGTAAAGCAGGAAGCCGGCGGCGTCGGCACCGAGCAGAGGCATGCGGCCCTCGCGGGCGTAGCAGCGGAGCGCAGCCCGGATGAGGCCGGCGACCGTCTCCCCCTCGTCGATCAGGAACCGCAGCGGCCCGGCGCTGCCGAGCACGGTCACCGTCACCAGCATGCGCGCTCGGCCGCCGGACCCGGCCGGCGCCACCTTTCCGCGGGCGGACTCCGCCTTGCCCAGCTTCATCATCGTCGGCGGTAGAGCAACGGCCAAATCGGAACAAATCCAACTAAAATCAAAGAATTGCCTAACTTTCTTTTTTTCTCTCTGTTTTCTCGCAAGAAGAGGAAGAACTCACGACCAAAAAAAAAAAGAATCAGGCGGGAGAGTCGAGTCGAATCGAATCGACGAAATCCTGCGCCCGTTGCGCGCTCGTCGCCGGCGACGAGGCGTTCACGGGTCGAGGCCGATGCAGCGGTGGTGCCAGCCCTGCATGCAGCAACCGAAGCTGCGGAAGGAGGCCCTCTCCGGCTGCGGCGGGGAGGCGGGGGAGGTCGTGCGGGCTCCCACCATTCACAAGGCGTGCTCGTCTTCGCGCGGAAAGATCCGGTGATGGTCTGCGCTTCTGCGGCGGCCGGGTGGGGAGGAGAACGGCGCGGCGGCGCGGTTAGCTAGGTTGGTTGGGGGCTCAAGGGACGCGTGGCCGACTATATAAAAGCACAGGAAAGCGAAGCTGGGGATGAGGAGTCCAGCTCGGCGGCCGCGTGGTGGGAAGGCGATCTGAGCCGTTGGTTGTTGGTGATGGACGGCTGATGCACGGTCTACGGTGTCGACGCGGTCGGTGGTTCGGTATGAGGCAGGTTTTTCCCGGTCGCGTTACTGCTCGCTAGGGTTTTCGATCGCTTCGTCGTTGGACGGACCTCACCTGCCGTCTGCGTGACTGCGTCAGCTAATACTCTGCTTCAGTTGGATCGTAAACGGCTTTTCTGGATCTTGTTTGCTTGGGAGGTACGAAGAAAGTACACGCCTTGGCAACGTGCGTGATTGTCTCGCTTGTAGGGCCAGCTACAAAGGATTTGTATGCCACGACTCGACGATACTACGGCTGCGTTCGGCAGCTGAAGAAAGAGAGTGATTTTGTTTCGATTTTCGCGCGTACTTTTCTCAAATTACTAAACGGTGTATTTTTTATAAAAAATTTTTATAGGAAAGTTGTTTTAAAAATCTATATTAATCTATTTTTCAAATTTAAAATAGTTAATACTCAATTAATCATGCGCTAATGGCTCACCTCATTTTTCGTACCTTCCCAATCTTCTTAATCTCCTCCTCCTCAAACTCACCCTACTACCTTACTACCCAAGATAACCCCCATCCAATGCTCAGCATTAATATCGTCTGATAAATCTAGTGGTGATAAGCTATTATGATAAAAAGGATCGGATATGGTTAAATATTAGCTCTATCATATTTATTTTTATAATTTATTCTTGAAATCGGAATCGGAATTCTGGATATGAAAACAGAATCGAATACAGACGCGACACGAATACAAATCGAAACGAATAAGGTGACGAATATTAATTGAAATATAAAAACCCCTCAAACTAAGCATCACAAATCAACTAAGAAATATAACGGTGGCGCTAATATGCGCACTGCGCACGGAATATTAGTTCGAGCTCCGCACAACGCTCCCTCCTTCTAGTTTTCCCTTTTTTACCACCCTACCTTTCCTACGCATCCCACATTTTCTCCGTCCATTTTTTTTCGTTTTTTACCACCCACTTTTCGTATTTCTTTTTTCTCTTTTCCATCTCATCTTCATCAAAGAGCATGGTAAAATATTAACCATCCAGATTTTTCCATTTTTCATTCATTCTCTCCAGTTTTTCCGTTTTCGCGTTTAATAAAATATTTATCGTCTATTTTTTTTTCTTTCTGAGTTTTCTGTTTTTCCAGTGTCTCCCCACATTTCAAAAGTAACGAGTTTTCTATTTACTTCCAGCCTCCCATATCTGCTCATTCTAAAGTGACAAATTTACTCGCATGAATGTGTTTGATGAGTTTTTGTGCAAAAAAAAAATCATATAAGATATAATAAATTATTGAGCATTTAATTTTGTACGAAAATATTATCTGCCACCCAATTTTATTAAATATATACGAGACGTGTCTATATGACATGTGGGCCCAAAAAAATTAAATATCACGGTGTCCGAATATATTCAATATTGGGCTCGTTTTGTTGTATAATTTGAATAGAAAGTAATGGTTCAAATGGATTTTAAATCCGACGTACAATTCAAAAGATTGGAGCTATTAAAAGAAAAGAAATAAGCAGTGCTATCGTTACTACGTGAGCATGCATGGTCATTGGCTGTGGCGATTAAACATATGGGGCTCACTGTCATTAGACATGTTAATCACATAATTATCTCCAGACTTCAGTACACGTCGACGGATTGGCTCGTCTCTGCGTCGGCTTATCACGAAGATTAGCACGGGGCGCTGGAAATTCGGAGGCCGTTTCCGTCACCGCTGCCTATATAAGGAGCATAACCCATCTAGAGCTGGGACGCGGACGACGCCACAGGAGACACCCAACCACCATTTTCATTCATCCCATTCCTCTTAGTAGATTAGGAAAATCAGGAGAGGAGATTGAAGCCGGCCGGTGATAGCAAACCGGCGCCGCTGCGGAGAGAATTAAACACCGCAGCCGGCGTTCTTCGTCAAGTCGATTCATTTATAACATGCCGCCATTCAGGATATTTGCGTTGGATGGTGAGCACATTGAATAAATATTAATTTTCTAGATTAAACACAATAGATGTTCGGTCTTTATTGGCGATCGGAACATCTGCGTGTTCTTAATCGATCTTGATCTTGATGATTAAAGCCAGATCGATGAGAGCCGAAACACGGTTATCATCAAACTCCATTTATACAATCAATGGTATAAGGGTGGTCCGGTCCTCATTGGCGATCGGATTATCCGAATACTATTTGATATTTTCTATGCTCAAAACTAGATGTCCGACCCTCATTGGAGATTGGATCATCTATTTGTTACTATGATACCGATAACAACGGCGCTAGATATGTCCAACTTTCATTGGTGATTGGACAATCTAAGCGGTATTTTACAAAATATATTTTGCTACCATGCACACGCATGGGAGCTATTCGTGATCTTTGGAAGATAAAAATTATGGCCGAGTATTTACGAGGCCGGTGTCACGATATTATTAACATGTCCAAACAGATAGGAGCGGATAAACGTTACTAGGTTCCGACAAGGCAAAAGTAACGATATATCCACATCTAATAAAGGCCGGCATATATGACTGGGCACCGATGAGGCAAAAGTCATCCCCTTTATTATGATACCTGATTCATGTATGGACGTGGTGATAATATATTGTGACCGGGTTTCGGCAAAACAAAGCCACCTATATCATAGTTATAATTAAATCTCTACACCAACCTCAACCTTCGGCGAGCAATCAATTTTGAAGACGACGATCACAAGCGCAGCTTAATCGGAGGTATTCCATAGGCTCGTCCTATGGATGTAATTGACCGGCCGCCTCATTGCTAGGCGCCAGGAATCAGCGGACTGCACGCAATCTCCAGTCATCATATCTTTCCATTAAGTATTCCTCGTGAAGACAAAAGGCGAACTCCTGCGGGAGCCCTCATGTATTTGTAAACATTCATGTTAATGAATCGTGATTAATAAAATATAGGGTTTCCCTATTTTCTGTGTATTCGTTGTTTTGTTTTCATCAAACAGAATATCCCTACATCGTACGACACCATTCCTAAATAGCCGTAAAAGAATTACTACCAGCTTACAACACTATTAATTATTTTATCAGTGTTATAAATATTGTGTAAAACAATTACCACCTTCCTCTCGATGCAGCCCATGATTTCGTAGCCACCGTGTAGTAATATGTTTATTGATATGTTTAATACACATTAAAAGAGTAAAAACTAATATAAGAATATTGTAAATCTGTATCACAAAATGGTTGTACAAATGAAAAAAATACCGGCTCAATCACATACGAGTGATAAAATTACTCGCATGTGAATCAAACTAGAAAAAAATGATTCAACTAAAAATTCATCGTGAAGCTGGGATCCTGATGGCTTTGCTAGATCTTGCTATAAGGATGAAGAGACTGATCTTTGCCTTGTGACTGGTAGTGGAGAGGGCATGTTATGCCCAGAAATTCGACTCGAATTTCAAGCAGAATATGTATTAAAATCTCTGTCCAGGACCAGACAGAGTACACAAACAACAAATTGATACATAGATCCACGTCTTACAAAAATAATAAATAATTCTTACAAACGCAGCGGAAATGAACAAAACTTCTAAACTTAATCTTCACAACCAAAGCATAGCTTTCTCCATAATCCACAGGCATCCTCAACGTCTGGAACAAGCTTAATCCTCGTAGAACTCATCATCTGAATAATTCTCTACTTCTGGGGTGGGGATAAATAAAGCAATACTGAGTACCAACCATCGTACTCAACAAGTCATACCAACGGGAAGGTATGATGCAAGATATTCACAGAGGAGAGGCTATAGGATATTTGCATAAAAGCAGCATTTGTAAATCATAATTTGAACACAGTAAAACAATAGATATAATTAAGCAATATTAAAATATCACTGCCCAACACTAAACCACGTTGCAACATGCCCATCCAAACCACTTGAACTACACCAGTTCATTATGTCATATTATTAAGAATAAGACTAATCACGGCGAGCTGGTTGACCGCTCAATAACCATGGGCACGGCTATTCGAATAGTTTTACTCTGATAAGAGGTATACAACTTTACCCATAAGACACAGCCTCACAACACGTTACTGTGCGCCGACATGCTACCATGACATACCAGAAAGAAACTGTGACAGAACCTTTCGCATAACCCTCCCTAACCAAGCATACCCACCGTAGGTTTCACCTCCACTCCTTAAAAAGGCAGTGGACAGTCCCCTCTCGTGCCTAGGTAAATCCAGAAACAGTAGAGACCAGAGCCAAGTCCGAATTGCACCATCTCCTCTACCCTTGCCATGGTATGTTGATTAGGTTAGGCTACACTCTAGATTCAGCCTGGAGCCCATGCTGGCCTTTGATAAGTATGTGTTTATCTTCTAGGGACTCCCGAGAACTGGTCTTTAATTGTCATGGGTACGACTTGCAAAACCATGCAACCACAACCCACCATTAAAGCATATTTTAGTTTAATTAAACCATAACCATGGCGGTACATCATCATATAATTAAGGACTAATTTATAGCGAATCCCATTGTGAACTAATTAAAAGTGCATCTAGGCCCCTAATGATTTTGATGATTGATTACAATGCGATTAGAGAGGACTAACACTTTTATTCAAGCAAATGTGAAGGTTGTTATGTCCTCGACATGTTGTAATGTGATGCATATCTCGTGAATGCGACATCACGATGCAATGCGGCAATGATCAAATGGTATATTGTATCTTTTACCTTGCATTGTGTCGTAGGAATGCCGTACTATTAAGAGGAATACCACATGAATATAATTGGTAGAACACTAGTGCTCAAAATGCTTCATCTTTGTGTGAGTTGAAAAACCTAAGCCAAAATTTCAATCCCGAGTTGTTTCACTTGTCACAACACTT